TGACATGGGAAGATGTCCCCAGTGTATTACATTTTTTAAAGCATCTTACAGAATAGGATGCGTAGCATGATTTCAGTAATTTCCATTGTGTCAAAGATGTTCATCTATGGATACAAATATGCATGTTTACATGTGCCTTGAAAATGTCTGGAAAGTTAAGTGCAAAACTTAATGGTTGGCTATTAGTGTAAGAGGACTAGGGGAGGATTTATACTTTATGAAATTTTATAGTGTTCAACTTTTACAATAAGCAGTTGGACATTAGTTTCCGAGTGAAAATCAAAGACAAGAATGTATAGGTGGTAATTACAACTGAAAAAGTGGTGAGGTATACGGGAGAGCCTATGGCATAAAAAGAGAAGGAAATATGGGCCAGTTGGAAGAAGGACAGTCAGTAGACTAGATCAAATTGAATAAGAATAATCCCTGTCCTCAGTGTGGAAGGAGATATTCTTCCATATTGTTAAATAAAGATAAAACTATGAATTACATTGTTCCATAGATGTTAAAGTAAGGTAATATAGAGGTGGAAGAGATTCTGCCATGGAGATTCAGAAGTCTTCACAGCCCTGAGCAAGATTTGGAGGACGAATGGGAGTTTGCCAGACAGAAAATGAGAAGGGTGGGCATTCCAGCCAGAGGGAAGAAGAGAGAGAGTTCATGGTCTGTGAGAGTACTGTGTGTAGACTACCACATGTGAAAGGGCAGAAATGGTAGAAATTGACATGGAAGCGGGGACATGTGACATGGTGCCAAAACCTTTATACCCATGCTATGGAGTTTCGAGTTCGTCTTAAAGGCAGTGCGGAAGCTGTTAAAGGATTTTAAGCAGGGAATTCAAAGAATAAGACTTTGTTTTTTTTCCCTTGAAGACAGGGTCTCACTCTGTCACTGGGTAGAATACAGTGGTGTCATCATGGCTCACTGCAACCCCAAGCTCCTTGGCTCAAGTAGTCCTCCTGAGTAGCTGGGACTACAGGCGTGCACCACCACACCTGGCTAATTTTTCTGTTTTTTGTAGAGATGAGGTCTCACTCTCCTTCTTGCTCAGGCTGATCTCAAACTCCTGGCCTCAAGCATTCTTCCCGCCTGGACCTCCCAAAGTGCTAGGATTACAGGCGTGAGCCACTGCACCCAGCAAAAGACTTTTTCAAGGAGGTCATTTTTTAAAAATCACTTTGGCAGCAATGTGGAGAATGGCCTGAGAAGGACAAGACTAGAATGAATGAGACTAGTTTAGGAGTCCGGTTATTGTGATATGGGCCTGAAATGTGAGATTGATGTTGAAGAATTGGCATTGAGAATGGAGGTGAGGGCACATGTTTAGGAGATGTATTTTCATCATCTAGAACAGCAAGCATGGGAAAGATGTTCAGTATGTGTTTGATCACTTGTTAAAAATGTTGAGTGTGTCAGGGCCAAGAGTTCTCTGGTATGCCAGTAGAGACTTGCCCCAAGGCTGATACAGAGGAACACGGTTTAGGGTCAGCTGGCTCTTACTGTCATTAACCCATATTTCTCTGTCTTGTCCATGAGGTTGTCTTGGAGTTTGCTGAAATGAAGATGTGTGTTTGGAGTATTTCCTTGATTCATCAGTTGTGTAGCCTTTCGTAATAAAATGAGGCTAAAAGTTTCTGCTGATTCTGTACATCATTTACATTTTCTGTGCTATTTAATCTCTGGAATTTTGTTGAGGCAATTGATATCAGACTTGGTGGTTTATAAACTCTAGAATCTACCATTCCAGACTTTAAAAAGAAGTACTTTAAGCTACCCAACTGGAAGTTAAGTATCTTGAGAGAAAAATGAGTTGTCA